ATAGGGAACGCGAAACAACAGTTTACCGAAAGGCGACGAATACCTCGCGATTTTTGAGTTACCTCAGCAACCACCCCGTCGCGCACAAGCGGAGCTGCGTACGATCAATATATCGCCCCGCAGAAACCCACTGCAGCGAACTAGCATATAAAAAGGCCGAAGTCAAGTATCCGCAGAAACTGTTCACAGTGAATTAGTATCCCGGCAGCTTCGTCGAAAAATACAGGCGCGGAGCAAAAAGAAGAAAACCAGCAGGGCAGCCAGAACCAACACGCTGGCAAGCAATATCCTATATTGCTGGCTTATCCGAAGAATTCGCTCGACTGATCAGCGAATTTGGAATTGGCGTTTCTCACTGACCGGAAGCGACAATCCGCAGGCACCTCATGCAGCCTAAGGTCCCAATACCCGTCAACCAGAAATCCAGTGTTATTTACCGAATCGACTGTGTTTGCAGTCAAGCTAATTCTGTTGGCGAGACCGGCAAACGGGTTACCACGAGACTGTACGAGCATGAACTCGCCGTGTGAAGGAAGGACAACCTTTCCTTGGTAGCCGCCCCCGAATCTCCGCCAGGGCACGGCTTTGACTTCGAACACGTGCGAATACTAGGCCCGTCAGACGACCGAGTCTCACGTCCACTGTAAGAAGCATTGCACTCGCAAGCGGACTCTATTGATGAGCGTATTGATTTTTCAGAAGACTATCTCCGGTTGCGCGAGCAACGGTGGGGGGCAAGGTGACTCGCGGCGGAGTGAACAATGGGAACTCCAGGTCACCCGGGCAGAGCTGACTAAATCACGCAGTGAGCTGTACGTTTTCAGTCCTTGATAACGACCTCGAGTGAAAGTCCGAAACGCCAGGCAAATAAAATACTGGTCTCAGAGGATGTTCTTCCGCCTTCTGTTCAATTACCTGGGCCTCACATATTTTCGAAAATTGATAATATATACATATATCTTGATGAACCAGGGACGATATTCTAGGATTTATTTTATATTCAAATATAATAAATATATATTAAATAAGTAAATATACACAAACGATTGATGCTAATTTTCGGTGTGTATCACTTTCCTTTAATTCGATTGTCAATCTTAGAATTACGCAAACACTATCGGCCTCAAACGAGCCCAAGTATGCAAAAGAAAAAAAATAAGCATAGACATAAAACCGACCTTGAGATGCAACAAATGTTCTATCGACCTTAAATTAATTACCTGCAGCTTGCTTAACATAAAAGAAGAATTCTTATTCGTCGTGTTTTCTGTTTTGCTGACGCTAGATCCACCAACCAAATCCCCAGCGCTGATAATTGCATTGCAGGAAATATGTGCGCATGTGTGTTTTTTTGTGCTAAACAAAAAACGGACTCTTGGTATTGGATGCTGGAATGTGCGAACATTTTCTGGAACTGGTACTCAAAGTCTAACAGCTCACAGTCTCCATGTGTGAGCAACCTACTGACAACAGGTGTATACAGGGTGACACTTGTTTGCTCATTGTATTACAAAACGTTTCCTTATAGTCGAACTCGTTCCAAAATGCGAATAGAAAAACGATGCACACTCCTCACTTTCGCAATCTGCCTCCTCTTCTGCCTGCTGAAAATATTCATGCAAGGGAATACCACGGTGAACAAGCGCGTCCTCACCGGTTTCAATCTTGCGTCATTTTGTGCAAACCTTAATGACAACACTCAGCTAATGCTGGATTATCAGACGCCACATCCCGAAGAAACGGATCTCTTCTTCGCCAGTATAAATTCCTCCTCGCATAGAAACTGTCGACGCTTCAGATGGGCATTCATGCCTCAAGAGGAGTCGCCGGTAGCCGCGCAGGAAGCCGCCTATCCCTTGGCCTTCACTATCGTCGCCCACAGAAATGTCCGCCAATTGGCACGTCTACTCCGCATGATCCATCGTACCGCCAACTTCTACTGCATCCACATTGACCGTCGAAGCGCACCGGCGTTTAGTCGAGCGGTGGAGGGGATTGCAACCTGTTTTGGATCAAATGTGCACGTGGTACCAACGG